TTTTCCTGGGTTTCTCCCATGTATACATGTTCTAAAGCTTTGTTTGATTTTCTCCTGTTATTCTGTCTCATGACAATTTAATTCATAGGCCAACCAGAAGGACCTAGAGAGGGTAGAGGATTTGTCTTCCTCTCCTACAGTTTGGCGACAAGAATGGGATAAAACTTCACTGGCTGGACACTGCTCACTCCTGGACTACTGTGGCCGAGAGATCCTGGACCCCTGACAAGAGCTGGCAGGAGGTAAGATTTCTTCCCATGTCAGTCTCCTGGATCTCTGCCTGCAGGGTCCAATGGAAGTGAGAGTGGTGAGTTTTTTCTTTTTCTAAATTTAGATTAGCAGGAAAAAATATTGGTGAAGCTAGCTTCTTGGACTCAGCAACTATAGAATTCGATTGAGTACTCATTGGTTATTGATCCTTTTCCTCCCAGAAATAATCAGTATTTTTCCTTGTCTCTGCCTTGTTTGTTGTTTGTCATAAGATACAGGCATCTCTATGAGCCTGTTGTCTGGGAATATGCACATGAGGTGAAAGCTGTTGCTAAGGGCATCTTGAAAGCCAAAAAGGCTGCCAATTTGGTGTACATGGCTCTAGCAGTTAAGAGCCATTAGGGCACTCGCCACCTCAAGAATTCTCCCATGGAAGGATAAGTTGGGTCACAGAACAGGGTAGATGACACAGGTCCCCCTGGCAACTTCAAGAAAATGTCCGTGCAATGACAAGGTACTCTGTAAAGCACACACAGTCCCCAAGCCAGCGGAACATCCCCCCTAGGTGTTGTTCTGGCTCCAAGAGACCCAAAGCTTAGCTAAAGCTGTTCATGTGCAGATCAGATGAGGTTTTCTCTTTTGTCTTGTTCTATGTCTTGAGAGCTTGGCTTTGTGACCTTTCTGGTCTCTGCCATCTGGAGGTTGCATGTACTGGCATGCATCTTGGCAGCCAGTCATGTAGACTGGGGATCCAGGACACACTCTCTTTGTCCAGCTGTGTCAGCTCTCAGGGGAGTTCGTCATAAGGGATCTCAATTGCTTTCATAAGGAGCCTTTGTTGTCTCAACTTTCATTGCTTGTTGTGAAACGAAGCCATTTTCTTTCTTAGACTATTTTTGGGAGTGAACTTTCTGGATCTTGTGAGGGCTGCTTTTGCACTCTCTTTTGGGGATGCCTGTTGTGTCCATGGTTAAGCTGTAAAAGTCTTATTGGTATGAGTCGCTGCTAAGATCCTACTCATCAATGTGGCCAGACAATGGATTGCTAAAATTGGGAAAACTTCTAAATTAGAAAAAAAATATTTTTTTTTAAAGATTTTATTTATTTATTTTTTTCCCCCCAAAGCCCCAGTAGATAGTTGTACGTCATAGCTGCACATCCTTCTAGTTGCTGTATGTGGGACACGGCCTCAGCATGGCCGGAGAAGCAGTGCCTCGGTGCGCGCCCGGGATCCGAACCCGGGCCGCCAGCAGCGGAGCGCGTGCACTTAACTGCTAAGCCACGGGGCCGGCCCAGAAAAAAATTTTTTTGAGAGCTCTTGTCATAATTGTTTTATTGGTACCTGTGAAAGGCCAAATTGTATATACATATAGAAAAAGAGTTTGGTGTTACCCAGCAAAGTTGAAGAAACACACACCCTATGACCCAGCAATTCCACTCCTAGGTATATATCCTAGAGCAGAGGTTTCTGAAGTGTGATCCACAGACCCCTGGAGATCCCCCAACCACTTTCAGGGGGCCTGCGAGCTCAAAACTATTTTCTTAATAATACTGAGATATTATTTGCCCTCTTTCACAGTGTTGAAATTTGCACTGATGATGCAAAAGCAATGGTGGGTAAACCTGCTGGTTGCTGTGCGTGAATCAAGGCAGTGCCACTAAATGTATTAGTAGCTTTTGTATTCTGCACTGCCACACACTCGCAGTAAAAAAATGCTAGTTGCACTTAAAAGTGTCCTTGATGAAGAAGTGAAAATTATCAATTTTATTAAATCTTGACCTTTGAGCAGTTGTCTTTTTGACATGGTGTGTGATGAAATGGGAAGGGAGTGTGGTAAAGCTCTGCTGTTGGATACCCAAGGGTGATGGTTCTCTTGAGAAAGAGCACTGTGTGCCATTGTTTGAGTTGTGAGCAGCATTAGCTAAGCTTTTTAAAAAATGAAACACCATTTTTACTTGAAAGAACAAGTGGCAGACAAACCACGATTATTCAAATTAGAATATTTAGAAGACGTTTTCTTGAAAATGAATGAAGTCTGTCACTTCAAGGAAAACAACGGACAGTGGTTGTGCCAATGACAAAATTTTGAGCTTTCAAGCTAAAATTAGAATTTTGGAAAACTCGTATCTGCCTCTGTGAGCTCCACTTCCTAACACTTAAATTCTTCTCTGATGAGATCAGTAGTGATATTAGCAAATGTGATTTTTTTGATATTGTGTAATGAAATATGTGAACATTTGGAAGACGTGAACAACTCAGTATACTAATATTTTCCAAATGACCACTATAATGTTACAGAACCATCAATGGGCGACAGAGCTATTGAAAGAACAAGATCAATCTGTAGATTTTAATGTAGCAGAGCTCAAAGAGTTCACTGAATAGTTTCAGAGTCCACATTGCAACTAACCTTTAAGAAACTACCATTTGTTGAGTTTTGGTGTAGTATCAAAGAATATCCACAATTAGCTGCAAAGACTATTAAAATACTTCTCTGTCTTCTAATTATACATCTTTGTGAGACTGGATTTTCTCCTTTAAACAGAACAACATATCACAACAGGTTGAATGAAGAGGCAGATATGAGCATCCAGCTATCTTTTATTAGGCCCGACATTAAAGAGATTTGCAAAAACAAAACTCGTCTCACTAAGTTTTTTGTTTTGGAAATAGAGTTAATGTCCATAAAAATTTAATTATGTTAACATGCAATGAGTTTGCTATTTTAAAATTAATAAATATTAATTAATATATTAACTAATTTAAATTTATATTTAATTAATTAAAATTTGTTTGGAAAATAGAATTATGTGCAATAAAAATTTAATTACATTAACAGGCAATGAGCTTGTTATTATGAAATTAATAAATATATTAATATCAATAATTACTATTAAATATTCAAAAAATTTTCACTTTTAATTTCTAATATGATAAATATTGATGGATATAACCAGTGGTATGCTGATAAACTGACTCTCTTAAAAAAAAAAATGCTGATACGTAGCATTTGCCAATTCTGTGGCATAAATATTCCCACCATGGCTGATTTCAAGCTACCGTGACTTTACAGAGTGTGATGTTGGGAAGAGATCAAAGCAAAACTGGCTCTCCTCATGAGTTGGTACGACTCCAGTTGGCTCCAGCACCACTAATATAATCCACATTCAAAAGCTCTTTGGGGCCTCAATAATTTTTAAGAGATTAGAAAGTTTGAGAACCACTGCCCTAGAGACATGGCTATCTGGGCACCAGGAGACATAAACCATGCACAAAAAATCCTAGCGACTATGGCTATACATAACACGAGTGAATCTTAAAAACATTAACTATTTTGAGGAGAAGAAACCAGACTCAGATGAATACATACTACAGGATTCCATTTATACCACTAACAAGCAAAACTAAGCAGTAGTGTTTAGGAACGCACATCCTTTTGTGCAGAGCATTTACAGAAGAGCAAGAAAGTGATGGCTCCAGAAGTCAGGTTGAGTGGGAGGACACAAGTGGGGCACTCCTGGGGGGCTGGCAATGTTCTGCTTCTTGACCTACAGGCTGGTTTTGGGGTTTTTGCTTTACCATAATTCATTTATCAGTACAATTATTTTTAATGTACTTTTTCACGTTTGTGTTGTATTTTATAAAAAAAGGTTTTTAAAAAATGAAATTATACAGAACACGTGGATCCCCTGCTCTCTGATTGGAAAGCCACCCCCTCTTCCTGGCTCTAGCCCTGCCTAGACTCTGTCCCTGCCAAATAGAGGCTTGCTCTGCTCTGTGGTGCATCTATGTCCTTTTCCTGCCACGTGCTTAGTTTCAAGATGCAGCCAATAATTTTCTTAGAGTTGGTCTATTTTTATTTGTAGGTAATTGGAAAACACTTCCTCTGAATTGCCTACTTGAAATAGAATGTCTTCATTTGTGGCGAGCAAGACTACGTGATTCTGCTTCTTAACCATATATCACAGGCATCTTCCTATGTCAGCACTTTTTAACAGCTACGGAGTATTTCATTATATGGCTGTACCACAATTTATTGAACCAGCCCTCTGTTGATAGATATTTAGGTAGCTCCTGATTTTTTTGCTTGATGAGTAAACAAGATAATGGCCTTTATCCCATTGGACTGAGCTCTATGGGGATGGAGCCCCTGTCTACTCAGCCATGCACTGCAGCCTCAGCTCAGTGCTCCAGAAGTAGCATGTGCTCAATAAAATGATTGTGAAGTGAATGAACGAAGACTAACCAAATGAACTGTTTTGTATCAGTTCGAGCACAAAGATAGGATTCTCAGTGGAAGTCCCGTAGGCAAAGGAGCAGACAGGTAGTGAGTGGAGCCCAGTGGTCTAGGCCTGAATCAGAGTGGATTTAGATCCCAGCTCTCCCGCATGTGTGACTTTAAGCAGCTACTTAATCTCTCTTGGCTTCAGTGTCCTCATCTGTGAAATGGGTATAATAATGGCACCTGCTTCACAGGGCTGCTGTGAGGATTAAATGAGTGAGTACACGCAAATGTCTCTCTATGGGCCTAGCACATCACTACTCATTCAGTAGCAGTGGAACGCAATCATCTCAACTCACACTAGTTGTAAAAATGCAGCATGGATGATGCCTTTCAAGGGGTGACAACACGGAAACCAGGTCCTTCTGGCCCCTGCTTCTGTGGTGGTGGTTGTTGGTTTGATTGGCTTTTGTGGGGTCAATTTTGCTCCTGAAGAATCAGCTGCTCCCATAAGGAGAATATGTATACTCAGAGGCCATCACCATGGAGACAGTCAACAGTAGGGAATCCAAGATCACGTCACCTCTCCCTGGATGCTGAAAGTGGACTCTCAGGACCTTTTTACTCTGTGAGGTTGGCAGGGTGTCATCTTACTACTCACTCAGAAGGGTGGCTGGGAAGCAAAAAAAAGGCATCCCAAACTTAATAGCTTCATAACATCTCCTCAGCCCTGAAATCTTAGACTGTGTCAAGTCAAACACACTCAGGGCAAATCCTTACCATGCAGTTTTTGACTGCAGTAAGTCCACAGTCATTCGCTACTCCAAGCTGGAAGATCGAGACCAAGTATTCAACCAGAGTGCTCATTGGAAACTGGGTGGAAGAGAGGAGGAAGGTAAGGGAAGAGAGAAGATGGGCAGAGGGGCTCAGAGGGCGGACTGGCAGGGAGAGGTATGAGCGGGTCATTACTATTTCTAAATCAAGAGCCATAGATGATTCTATTTTCGGAACGTGGCATTAGGGTCTCTGTGCTCTACATAGGGGCGTTGCATTCAAGCAAGCATCAAGGTCTCCACTATATCCTGAAAACACAATAGCAGAAGTGTCAATATAGTCGTGCCTTGCAGTACTGTTTTCAGTGGGGTGTTTCTAGGCATTTGGTGTTCCCTGTCTGTAATCCCTCTACACCTTGATTTGAAGAATGTCTGCTCTCCCTGGCCTGGCCTTCCCCAGAATGTGGCACCTGCTGAGGCAGGCTTGATACTCCCTGCACTGATGTCCATGGATGAAGTGCTGCTCTCTGGCACCTGTTCCACAACCTCGCCCTGTCTGTGCATTTCAAGTTTTTACTTTCAAAACAGAACCAATGGGCTCTTGGTGTTCTCATGTACTTTGAAGGCCATCGCAAAATATTTGCCTGAATTGGCCTACTTGTAATTGAATATCTTCATTTGTGGTGATCAGGACTGAGCCACTTAAATTTCTGCAGAGACACCTAGACATGCTCATGCCTTCTTGGGAAATGGGCAGGGAAAAGAGGGTGAGATAGAATCGGCAGCTTTGATGTACGTGTAGGGAAAGGTGGTGGTGACTTCTGAGAACTGGGAAAGGTGATTTTCATGGAGGACATTAGAATTTACCACTCCTCTGGCCAGATATGCCTTGTGTTAGCCCTAACTGCACTTGGCCTTGTTTGGGGAGCAGCTGTGTGTCAGGGAAGTTCCGAGGATAAGAAAGACTAGCTGAGCAATCCCTTCAGGCTCCTGTGGGTGAGGCCGTACTCAGGAATATTATGGGCTGGTTCTACACCCAGAGGAGGTTGCATAAAGAAAGCAAAGTTGGAGTGATGTCAGAAAGATGGCAGACTCAGAAGCTCCAGGTTCTCGTTGTCCCAGAAACACTTAAAAAACAACCAGCTAAAATAACTATACAGGAGCTCTGGAAAACAGTCAATGGTCTGCAGCAACCAATTTAGAAAAAGCCACATTCAAAGTGGTAGGAAATTCCATATTATTTTTACTTGCCCTTTCCCATTCCCTCCCTAGCACAGCATGATGCAGTGTGGGGGAAGCACTGGCCCAGCTCTCAGTTCCCTTCCTTGAACCTAGAGGGAGTGGAGCAACATTCTAACTTGTCTGGGGTCTGCCTGAGGGATTGGTCTCTATTTTGCCTAACTCAGAGCTCATACAGGGAAAAATGGCATAGTTCATATTTCAGGCTAGGAAAAGCTGTGGAGAGCAGTGGTGATCACAGCTAGTGAAAGCTGCCAGGGGACTACAGGCCTGCAAATGTCTAGGGCAAGAGATCACAGGTAGAGGAATATAACAGTATATCTAAGGCCCTAAGAGGAAGCAAAGGAGAGACTCTTTGGGAAATTAAGGCATTTTAAAGCAGCTATGTATGCAGGGGAAATAAAAAAGCGCGCGCGCACACACACACACACACACACACACACACACACACACAAGCCAAGGCAAGATGCACTCTCAGAAAAGTCCTGAGAAGAACTTAAGCCTTCACACCAGGCTAATTCCATGGCTCAAAACATGCCTTGCTAGTTAGTGGAGATCTTCCCTCCAATGGAGCCCGTCTGCAAAGACTAGGAGAGGTGGTTGTTTTTTCAAATGCCCAATTTTCAACAACAAAAAATCATAAACCATACAAAGAAACAGGAAAACACAGCCCATTCAGAGGAAGAAAATACAGTGGCAAGAACTATCCCTAAGAAATATAGGCATCAGAAGTACTAGACAAAAACTTTAAAACAACTGTCTTAATATGCTTAAAGAGCTAAAAGAAAATATGGACAAAGAACTAAAGGAAATCAGGAAAATGAAATATGAAAAAAAATGAGAATATCAATTAAAAAATAGAAATTATAAAAAGGAACCAAACAAATTATGGAACTGAAAAATACAATAACTAAACTGAAAAAATTTCACTAGAGGCATTCGACAGTGGACTTGAACAGGTAGAAAAAAGAATCAGAGAACTCAAAGACAGATCATTTGAAATTATCGAGCCTGAGTAGCAAAAAGAAAAAAGGAGAAAAGTGAACAGAGTCTAAGGACTAATGGGACACCATCAAGCAGACCAGTATACACATTATGGGAGAAAAGAGAGAGACAAAGGGGCGGAGAGATTATTTGAAGAAATAATAATCGAAAACTTCCCAAATTTAAAGAAAAGACATGGATGTACAAATTTGAGAAGCTTAATGAATTCCGAGTAGGATAAATTCAAAGAGACCCACATAGAGACACATTATAATCAAACTGTTGAAAGTCAAAGACAAAGAGAGAATCTTGAAAGCAGCAAGAGAAAAATGACTCATCACATACAAAGGAGCCCTTATAAGATTATCAGTAGATTTCTCAGCAGAAACTTTGTAGGCCAGAAGGCAGTACAATGATATGTTTAAAGTGCTCAAAACAAAAAAAACTATCAACTGAGAATACTATAGCCAGCAAAACTGTGTTTTAAAAATGAAGGAGACATTAAAACATCCCCAGATAAACAAAAGTTGAGGAAGTTCACTACCACTAGACCTGCCCTACAAGAAATGCTAAGGGGAGTCCTTGGAGTTGAAATGGAGCAACACTAGACAGTAACTCGAAGCCATATGAAAATATAAAGCCATATGAAAATATAAATACATGGACAAATATAAAAACCACTACCTTTGTAATTTTGATTTATAACTCCACTATTTTCTACCAGATTTAAAAAACAAATGCATAAAAATAATTATAAATCCATGTTAATGGGTACACAATATGTCAAGATGTAATTTGTGACATCAATAATATAAAGCGGGAGAGCTCAGAGCTGTAAAGGAGTAGAGTTTTCATATATGAGTTAAGTCAAGTTGGTATCAATTAAAATAGATTGTTATAAATTCAGGGTGTTATATGTAATCCCTGTGATAACTACAAAGAAAATATCTCTAGAATATACACAAAAGGAAATGAGAAGGAAATAAAAATGTGTCACTACAAAAAATCAACTAAACATGAAGAAAGGCAGTAATGGAGGAAATGAGGGATAAAAAAAACCCTGTAAGACATACAGAAAACAAATAAAATGGCAAAAATAAGTCCTTCCCTAACAGTAATTAATTTCAATGTAAATAGACTAAACTTTCAATCAAAAGACATAGATAGGCAGAATGGGGAAAAAAGAACAGGATCCAACTATATGCCCTCTATGAGACTGTCTTTAGATCTCAGGATATGCACAGATTGAAAGTGAAAGGATAGAAAAAGATATCCCATGCAAACAGTAACCAAAAGAGAGCAGGGTGTCTATACTAATATCATAAAAAAATCGACTTTTAAGTCAAAAAAATGTTACAAGAGCCAAGGAAGAACAGTATATACTGAAGAAAGTGTCATGAAGAAGTAGATAATCTGAATAGAACTAATAATTAGTAAAGAAATTGAATCAGTAATCAAAACCTCCCCAAAATAGAAGACCACGATTAGAAGGCTTCACTGGTGAATTCTCCTTAGCACTTAACTACCTTAACATCATAAAGGCCATTTCTGAAAAGCCCACGGCTAACATCACACTCAATGGTAAAAGACCAATAGCTTTTCCTCTAAGATCAGGAATGAGACAACGATGCCTGCTTTTGCCACTTCTATTCAACATAGTATTGAAAGTTCTAGCCGGAGCAATTAGGCAATAAAAAGAAATAAAAGGCATAGAAATTGAAAAGGAAAAAGTAAAATTGTCTCTGTTTGTAGATGACATGATCTTATATGTACCAGACCCTAAAGACTACACACACACACACACACACACTCACACACACAACTGTTAAAACTAATAAACAAATTCAGCAAAGTAGCAGGATACAAAATCAACTTGCAAAAATCAGTTGCATTTCTATACGCTAATAATGAACAATCTAAAAAGGAAATTAAGAAAATAATTCTATTTACGATAGCATAAAAAACAATAAAATACTTAGGAATAAACTTTACAAAGGAGCAAAAGACTCATATTGAAAACTACAAAACATTGTTGAAAGAAATAAAAGAAGACACCAAAAAATGGAAAGATATTCTGTGTTCGTGGATTGGAAGACTTAATATCATTAAGACATCAATACTACCCAAAACTATCTACAGATTCAGTGCAATCACTATGATTATTTTGCAGAAATTTAAAAAATCTACCCTAAAATACATTAAGAATCTCAAGAGATTCTGAATAGCCAAAACAATCTTGAAAAGAAGAACAAAGTTGGAGGACTCACATTCTCTGATTTCAAAACTTATTGGAAAGCTACAGTAATCAAAACAATGGGATACTGGCATAAAGGCAGACATAAAACCAATGGAATAGAATAAAGAGCCCAGAAATAAACCCTCGTATATCTGGTCAAATGATTTCAACAAGGATGCCAGGACCATTCAATGGAGAAAGGACTGTCTTTCAACAAATGGTGTTGGGAAAACTGTATATCCACACGCAAAGAATGAAGTTAAGAATGAATGAGTTAAAATTTTCGCTGGGTTAGAGAAAAAATCAGAAGAAGAAAGAAAAAAATTGAGATAAGCTTTGCTAACTGCAGCTGTGTATGCACATGCTCAGCTACTGGTAATCAATTGTTGCTTAAAACTGACCAGATCTTTCTGTTCCTCCTTAGTACATAATGAGTGAGTTGTTTTTCCAGAAAATTGAAGTCCAGATGGTCAAGGAAAAAAGAAACCAGTTTCACAAGACCAGACACAGGCTGAAGATGATGCCAAAGATCCAAGATAAACCACATGGGAAGGCACCAGTCTGCAAGGCCACATGTTCCCCTCCCCTAAAACCCCAGATAAAAACTCCTAACATTTTCCCTTCAGGCATGTGGATTTGAGTTTTACTCCCATTTCCTCGTCTGGCTGCCTTTTGATAATAAACCTCTTTCCTTGCTACAATCTTGACATTTTGGTGATTGGCTTTGCTGTGCACTGGATAAACGAACCTGAGTTTGTGTTCAGTTTCAATTTCTTGGAAATGACACCAAAAACAAAAGGAAAAATAGATAAATTGGACTTAATCAAAATTAAAAATTTTATGCATCAAAGAACACTATCAACAGAGTAAAAAGGCAATTCATGGAATGAGAGAAAATACTTGCAAATCTTATATGGGATAAAGAATTAATATCCAGAATATATAAAGAACTCCTGTAACTCAACAATGGAAAAACACACAACTCGATTAAAAATGGGAAAAGAACTTGAACAGACATTTCTCCAAAAAAGATATACAAGTGGCCAATAAGCACGTGAAAAGATGCTCAACATCATTAGGGAAAAGCAAATCAAAACCAAAATGAGATAGCACTTCACACCCATTAGGATGGCTATTATTAAAAAAACAGAGAACAACAAGAGTTGGCGAGGATGTGGAGAAATTGGAATCTTTGTGTATCATTAGTGAGAATGTAAAATGGTACGGCCACTGTACAGAAGTATGGCAGTTCCTTGAAAAATTAACCGTAGAATTACCATATGACCCAGCAATTCCACGTTTGGGTATATACTCAAAAGAATTGAAAGCAGGATCTTGAAGAGAATATTTGTACATCCATGTTCATAGCAGCATTATCTACAGTAGCCAAAAGGTAGAAGTCATCCAACAATGGACGAATGGATAAGCAAAATGTGCTGTATCCATACAATGGAATATTATTCAGCCTTTAAAAGGAAGAAAATTCTGACATATGCTACAGTGTAGATGAACCTTGAAAACACTATGCTCCATGAAATAAGCTAGTCACAAAAACACAGATACTGCATGCTTCCACTTATAAGAGGTCCTTAGAGTAGTCAAATTCACAGAGACAGAAGTAGAATGGTGGTTGCCAGGGGCTGAGGGAGGGAGAATGGGGAGGTGTTTAACGGGGACAGACTTTCAGTTTGAAATGACGAGAAAGTTCTGGAGATGAATGGTGGTGGCGGTTGCACAACAACGTGAACATACTTAACACCACTGAACTCTACACTAAAAACTGGTTAAAGTGGTAAATTTTGTTATATATATGTTACCACAATAAATTTTTAAAAAATCAATCAGAAAACATAATATAACGGGGATAAAAGAGAGTGGGGTTGGGAAGAGTGAGGAACAAAGAAGAAAGAGAAAGGGAGGAGGCAAGCAGGAGGGATGGGTGGGAGAGAGAAGACAAGGAAGGGAACAGGTGCAGCCCGAGACAAGCGGTCAGGTGACACTGTAACGGCTTTCCCAAGGGGTTGCGGATGGCGGGGTGGCTAGTCCCCGAGCACACTCTGGAAGGGAGGGGGCAAACTTAAGCCTGTGTTGTGCAGGATGCCCTGGAGTTTTCTGCCCCACTTCCTATGGCCAGGTGTGGGGGAGGAGGTGAGAGGATACAGCAGAAGTTTGAGAAAGGGCGTTATAGACGTTCTCCTGAATACCTGCTCTTTTCCAGTTCACCAAAGCCACTGAGAAAACACCCCAGTGCATTTACAGAAAAGAGTACGTCCCCTTCCCAGGCCACAGACCGGACCAGATCTCCAGGTGGTACGGCAAGAGGAGAGTTGAGGTAAGAGGGGTCGGGGCACCACACTCGGGCCTGGGCCCCTCCCGGCGCTCAGGAGACAGCACCAGCCAGCTTCCTCCAGGCCCAGTTCCCTCTCAGGAGCACAGGGGTGCTCTCATTAACACACTCCCCGGACAAGGGGCTGCCGATGTTCTTCACCCTCATTACCGAAGAGCAGACGATCCATCTAATCTTGGGCTGGTAGCGTTCCCCTCACCCTGTAGCCCAGCATGTTCCCGATCATTTCCCCCATTCCTCCACACTCTTCCACCGGGATGCAGGCAAAGGGTGCGGGAAACAAACTAACAAACAAGGGAAGTATTGAATTAAGGTGAACAGAGTCAGGAATCACAAAAGACACTCCAAAAGCTGGTAGCGGTGATGCTTGGATGATGACAGCGTTTTGTGTCATCTATGCCCTGGCTTCCTGATCTTTTGTATGAAAAGTCAAGCGCTGTTCAGCACTCTCTCGCTTGTGGGGTGCCTATCTGTGCATCTCATTGTGTTCCAGGCCCCAGGAGCAGGGGAGGGGATTGCAACCTCAGGACACACCCCCCAAACCCAAGACCAGGCATTTGAGACATTTATTAGCTTAGGTGAGACTGTGCCAGAGGCTCAGAGATGCTGGCCCTTCTAGGAACAGGAGGGAGAGCCTCATCCTACATCAGCCCCTGTCTGTGGTGTCCACCAGGCTCGCCCTGGGGGAGCAAGCGTGTAGGTGCTCACCCACTGGGTGCACAGCTGTGCTGTCCCCACCATGCTCTGGGGGTCCCCCAAGTTGCTACTTTTGCCAGCCTGCTGCTCATGGGGGTGATTTCTGTCCCCCCTCTCCCATCTCACCTAACCCTACATCTGCCTAAACTCAGGGTGGGGACAGGGAGGCACAGGATGAAAGGTGGACATCTGTTGGAATGAGAGCATTTCAGAGCTTGAAGGAACCCAAGAGATTGTTTGGCTCAGCACCCTCATTTTTAGATAAAAGGTGCCCAGGGGTGGTGAGTGTCTGGTTTGAAGCTGTGTAGCTTGTTGGTAAGGGACTGTGCAGGGGGCTGCTCTGCAGATCAAGCAAGGAGTCTCCTCGGATCCTTATCATCCTTTTTCATCATCTGCCGGGGTTGACTCTTTGTCTTCTGCATCTGGGGATCCATGTGAGGATAAATAGTGCCAGATTTTCAGTTCTCTGCTGGCATCCCTGGACCGTGCTGGCATCCTCGGACTACGCTGATGCTCTGGGACTGCCAACCTTTACCGTTAGTGTGCACTGAAGACACAAATGCACTTTAATATAAGGAAGTCAAAATTAGAACCTATGATCTGGGGATCCTGGCCCCCAACCATCAATGTACGTAAGGCACTTAGCCTAGTTCTCAATATACACTAGGTGCCCCTTCTTAAAGTCTTTTGGACCCATTGCAAACCCTGATGAAGGGATAACTACACATACATATAGTCTGGTTAAAATAAGACCCCCCCCCGGGGGGGCCAGCCCGGTGGCGCAAGCGGTTAAGTGCGTGCGCTCTACTGCGGTGGCCCGGAGTTCACCGGTTCGGATCCCGGGCACGCACCTACACACCGCTTGTCGAGCCATGGTGTGGCAGCATCCCATATAAAGTGGAGGAGGATGGGCATGGATGTTAGCCCAGGGCCTGTCTTCCTCAGCAAAAAGAGGAGGATTGGCAGATGTTAGCTCAGGGCTGATCTTCCTCACAAAAAAAAAATAAATAAATAAGACCCCCCACCACCAACACACATAAAATAGAACCAAGCAATGGGATATTCATTCCTAAGGACTCTCTTTAAATAGCCTGTTGTGGGCCGGGGACCCTGGACACAGCACCAGCTGCCCACGGCTGCTTCAACTCTGAGTCTTCCATGTGCCTCATTCTGCACCTCGTCCCCCAGGACAGCTTCCCCTTCCATCCCCGTCCTCTCTTCACTCTTTTCCCTTCTCAAGCAAGTGCTATATCTGCTCTTCAAGTTGACCACGGATAGATGGGGTCATCGTCCCCCAGGGAGGACCCCCTTCCTGTGCTTTTTCCCTCAGCAGGTGTATTAATCACTTTTTTTATTTTCTGTGTCTTATGATTCTTTGATATCCTAGGGGCCTTGCTAATCCTGGAGAGATTATCCTAAGATAATTAGATATCCTGAGATAATGTCCTGAGAGATTAGCCCTCCCAGGGCCAGCGAATTCCCAGACAGTAAACAACTTGCCTGCCATCACGCCTTACAGATGCAAACCAACCAGTCTAGAGCCCATATCCCCAACCCCTCCTTTATCTAAGGCTTTCATACCAAGCCAACATTCCCCTGCCCTAAATCCCTCCAGGGCCAGGTACGACCACCAGAGTCACCCTCCAGCCTGGAGCCTGCTGAAATATTCAAACTATGCAATCCTGAACTTCGCAAACTTGTCTACCTGGCCTCACCCCTTCTTTCCCCTGGGAACCAGGGTGAAGGCCCTGGGTCATGCTCTTTCCTCACTCCTTCTGCCTCCTGCCCGACCCTGGTGCTTTCCCATATGGCCCTGTGTGGTGTGGCCTGCCCCCTCCTCTTGGGAACTGTAAGTCATAAACTCTTCTTTCAAAGGCAGTTTTCTCTATGTCTGTTACCTAACCACACCTGATCAAAACAAAAATTCCTGCTACATAATCAAGACAGCAGGGCCGCACCCCAAACCAAGAGAAATAGCAAGAAAATCCCTCTTGGCCCCTCTCGTTTCTCTACCATGATGCCTCCTCAGCACTTTCCTTGGTTGATGGGAACCCCTCCAACTGGCTTTCCCTGGTATTGGAAATACACTCCGGCACCTCGTGATGTGGATCTTGGGAACCCCTGCTTAACGGCTGTGCCCATCCCCCCGTCTCCCTCTGGCATTGTGATCTGACTTATTTATGGAACCACCACTTGAAATATTGGGTGCAGCCAGCATTTCCAGACCATGGCAGACACAGACCTCCCTGTCTGCTCCAGACAAGACGACGGGCATGGAAATCCACATTATCCTCCCCTGTAAATCAGCCCAGGCCCCCAGGATTCCCTTCCAGGGCCAAGAGGATTTTCTGAGGAAGAGCGCTGATTTGGATAAATGTCCCTGAGTAAGGAGAACATGGCTTTCTTCTCCCTGTAAATAACTCCCCACCAAAGAAATCAGTCCCTGGGTTTCCAGCTGAGGGAGCCGTAAATCCTTTGCAGGAGAAGACAATTTATGGAGCGTTCTCTGACTCTTCCCATAGTAACTGATTGAAATACAAGGCGCATACGTCAGGCTTGGTATACAGCATCTTTCACTTGCCATGGAAATAGGCGCTTGGATGGATGAGACTCGAGGCAAATCAAAGGGTGTAATTTCAGATCTCAAGGGCATGCAACAAGATGGCTCTGACTGTTCCTTTTCACTGGGTGTCCTGACTTTCATTTTAATGTGTCCCCATAGCTTATTCTAGGGAGGAATTGGCTTGGCAGAGGCTGGGGGCCACTCAGGCGGGGGACTGACGGCAGCTAAGCTGGGACGTTTGTTGGAAGGTGAGCTGCTTCAGGGTGGGACAGACAAGTGTGTCTCCTGTGTGCTGGCCTCGAGGGCTCAGGCAGCCACACTAGCCACCCGCCCATGGAGGCCCCCTCTCCATCAGCACCACAGCCTCTGCCTCCACCCACGGCCAGGTGGATGCCTTGCTCTGATTGGTAACATGCCCGCTGTGTCTGTCCTTCCAGGGGCTCCCGTACAAACACCTGATCACCCACCACCAGGAGCCCTCACACCACCATCTGATCAGCACATATGACGACCATTACAACCGACACGATTATAACCCAGCCCTGCCCCAACGCCGCACCTGGAATGGACATAAGATGCTGTGGCTCCCAGAGAAAGCCGACTTCCCCCTTCTTGGTATTTTTATAATTTGGGACTTCCCCCTGCATTGGGCTGCAAGGGATCCACAGCTGCACAGGGCTGAGGCGTGCTCGACTCAAGTGGAAGGACCCACATGGGTGACCCTGGCTCTGGGAGGGCACTGGAATGAGATGATGGGGAGAGAGTCCTATTTACTCCCAGGGCCGCCGCCTGCCCTCTTCCCCTGACGCGAGGCGACGTCGCCTGCCCTCTTCCCCTGACGCGAGGCGACGTCGGCTGTGTGACGAAGCCCGCACCTGCACACTGTGGCTGCATGTTTACCGGGAGCACAGGTGGCAGGGAGCAACACCCTTGCACACTCGAATCAGTCATTCGTCCATAAACAGGGACTGATGATTTCCTAGGTGCCATGCCCTGCTATAGCTCCTGGGGACACAGCAGTGACAAACAGGGAGGAATGCCTGCCCTTGGGGAATTGACATTCCGGTGGGGAGACAGAAAAGACACCACTAAAGCATAAGATAACTTAAGCTCTAGTAAATAAGAGAAGTTTGGACCAGGATATGTGCTATGAAGAAAAGAGGTAATGTGCAGAAAGCCAGGCGGGTGTTTGTGACTCTCCTTTGGGTGGAACGATGAGGGACGGTCTTTCTTGAGCAGATAGTTGAGTTGAGAAGCAGGGAGCCATGCAGTGACTGGGGGGAAGAGCATTCCAGGGAGAGAAGAGCAAGTGAAAAGGCTCCAAGGCAGGAGGAGAGGAAGACCACGCAGGGGCTCACAGGCCACAATAAGGAGCCTAGATTTTGTCCTTCCTGCAGTAACAAGACTTGGACGGATTTACTCGGAGAGTGCCTTGACCTGATTTGCATTTCAAGCTACCCCATCCTATGCCATCCTACCCTTCGATGCAAAGGGACATAGGTCAGAGAGTGAGCTGCTTGTCACAATGCGTTACTTCCACAAGGGCTTCTCCTCGAGATGGCTCTCACCAGCCCACACTGCTCCCTTCCCTACTGGAGTGGGACAGTTGCCCAGTCAACCAGGCCATGGGGCTGACTTGTCCGAGGCCTCTCTGGCAGAGCTGGTCCCTCCTGAGTACGCAGGGAGGCCCCACCGTGAGGCTCGCTTCCCTCGGGGCCGCTGCCAACCTGGTCCCTGATACAGCAGCCTGAGAAACCCCCAGGGCCCCCTTCTCCTGGCCCAGCAGGCAGGCCTCCTCCTCTAAGTCCTGTTCACCCAGACCCCGGTTTCTCCTGCAGCTCCCGCTACGAACTACGGACTCTATGAGCAGCTGAAGAAGAGATGGCTCGCACCCGAGGCTGGCCCGAGGGAGAGCATTTACACCTCGTCCTACCCCAGACCACCCTGGTGTGCTTTGTCTCGGCGGGAACACGCCATCCCTGTCCCTCCCCCCCGCCTGCACCCTGTGCCACATGTCTGAGAACTGCCACCCCGCTGGAAATGCAGGCGGGACCAACTGGAGACCCACCGCACCATTGGACCTGCTAGACAGCAGGCGGCTGCAGATACACCCGGGGTTTTAAATCCGGCCCGTTGGAGACACCCTTAGAATCAAGGTCTGCGTTTCACGGTTCCCGCCCCTCCTCCAAACCCACAGGTTCCTTTCTTTTCCATCCCACAATTAAAGCTCTTTGACACAATGGAGTGTCATGTACGTACAGAAGACAGACCCAGAATGTCAGAAGAAACTGGAAGGACCCTTAAGTTCCACTCCCTTGTTTACACGAGGGGAAACTGAGGCAGAGAGGTAACACGACTCCTTCAAGTTCTCACAACTTGGTACATACCCTACAGGAGTGTCTGATCCAACGGGAAAAACATATCCGACGACGAGACCCGTCTCGAAAACTCCACGGATTAGTCAGTGTGGTTACGGGGAGGCCAGTGCTCAGGGGCCGGCGGTGGGGAAGGGTCCAGCGTGTCTGTGGTTGCCTAGGCAGGGCCGCACTGAACCTGCGGGCTCGGAGGAGAGGAGGACACACAGCATCTCCCCGCCACCTCCCAGCTCCCCGATCTTTCTAGGAGCGTGAGGACGGGGCATTTTTCAGTGAGTATATGGGAATGAGGGGGGGCCTCCAGCAGAAGAACTCAGGCGCTGTCCTGGCGCGGGGACTTGGTGCTGACCTCACCCAGGACTAGTCCTGGAGGCTGGTTCTTCTACCTGCCGTGGAGTCCGGCCTGGGGCTGAGAACAACACATCCCTAACCCGCCCTCCCTAACTACCAGGATTTGACAGCTACAGCCGGGTCTTTCTTTGAGTGGCCTTCCTTCATCTCGTGCCCCTACACTAACTGTGTGTAGTCGCTACTAGGCACAGTGCTCCCTATAGAGCTGTGCTTAGTAATCACTGGCTGAATGAATGAATAAGCCGTTGTCTCTTTTGGCTCCTCTCTACCCCACTCATCCATTCGTTACGTTCCACTGTTGTTCTCCACTGGGAGTCTCCATCCGGCTGTCCCCCATAAACCCCTGTGACCTCGAGTCCAGGCCCCAACCCATCCCGACACCTGAAGACCCCCTCTTCCTCCCAGAGCTCAGCTTCTCCCGCTTCTGACTCCGAGTGAGCCCCCCTAGGTTACCTCTGCCCACTTCAGAGGGGAAGTCACCTCCCTGCTCCTCCGTCCTTTAGAGCTCGGCCATCCACCCACGCCAGTGCTGTCAACGTGGCTCCGTGGTTCTGCCAGCCCACCTCGCGTGCTCTGCCACTAAAAACAAATAAACAACAGTTTCTTTTCTGCTTTGCAGAAAAATTAATGCATAGAACTATGCTTCCATGAATCTTTTCCTTACATTTTTGGCACCTGCAAATGAGAGAAAAAAAAAGGCAGGAAAAACAACTGTTAACATTTATTGTGGGTTGAGCCTGCACCACAAGCAGGATCTGGGCCTAAACGGGGTTATCTCATTGACTCACCACCACCACCATCCACAGTAGTGCCCTGAGAGGTGGGGATTATAAATGTCAGTGCTGTCTTACAGATGAGGGAACAGGAGATACAGATGAACTGACTGGCCCGAGGTTGCACAGGGAACGCGTCTTAGAGCTGGAATTTGAACTCAGGCAGCTGGTCACAGAGCAGGCACGCTAGCCCTGTGCAAAACTGCCTCCTCAAAGAAATGCCAGCAGATAGCCTCGGGACCAGCTGGGCACACCTGGGTCTGCTGCACTCATGGGCACGTGTGTGGTTGGCGGTGATTTTGTACCGCAGACAGCTAATCTGATTCCAAGTGGGGGACGCCCGGGTTTGTGCCATCCCTTTCAAGGCCTCCTGCTGACCCCAGGCCTCCTCTTTTAGGCTCCTTCAGCAACTACTGCAGTGCCTTCGCTCATTTCTCCAAGAGCCTGTGCAATGACGCTGTCTTCTCTACTCGACTGCCAAGTTCTGTGAAGTCAGAGCCTGGCATGCTCCAGGTGCTCCACAATGTTTGTTGAATGAATGACTGACAGGAGGAATGAGGGAATAGAGGAAGGTTGTGTTGGAAGAGCTCCAAGGGAGAGCTGTGGGGCGGAGCAAGCTGGCCTTCCTCACACCTGCAACAGCCATCCATTCATTCCACAAACATCCATTGAGCCATGATCGAGCCCGGCCCTGGCCTCACAGAGCCTTCAGTCCAGCAGAGGAGAGGGACCTTAAACAAATACTTACAGGACAGGGCGATGTTGGGGGACAGGCTTGCAGAACTCAGGACCTTGGGGGTCAGGGGGTCATGAGGGAGATCATTGGGCTATGTTGAAGAGGTGCCATGGGAGTAATAACAGGGGCACGGAGACACGATCTAGTCAGGGATGGCTTCCCTGAGGAAGGGACATTTAGGCTCAGGCCAGAACACTGAGAGGGATTAGCCAGGTGCAGGACAGGTGGGGAGGGGGGACAGGGTGTCTCTCCTGCAGGAACAGCTCTGAGTTGGGAAGGAGATTGCCAGGTTTGTTAAAGGCCCAGAAAGGTGGTGTTTTCTTTTCCTTTTGCTGCTGTAACAAATGCCACAAACTTAGTGGCTTAAAGCAACACAGGTTCATTCTCTTACAGCTCGGGAGAGGTCCACAGTGGGTCCGCAGGGCCGCGTTCCTTCTGGAGGCTCTAGGGGTGAAGGGTTTCCTTGCCTCTTCCCGTCTCTGGGGAGACTGACGTTCCTTCACTCGTGGCCCCTCCTCCATGTCCAGAGCCGCCAGCGGAGCATCTTCTTTCCTCTCTGTCTCCTCCCATAAGGACCCTTGTGATTACATCGGGCCCACTGGATAATCCAGGATCACTCCCCCATCTCAAAATCCTCAATCACATCTGCAAAGTTCCTTTTGAATATAGACTAACATGTTCACAGGTTCCGGGACGAGGATGTGGACGTTTGAGGGGGACATTATTCATCTGGGGCCTGGATGCAAGGAGGAGTTCTCTGCACTCAACACGTGTCCATCCCTTAACCCGCAATCCATCTTGTCCTTTCCAGGCAGGTGGGAAGGTGGAGGGACAATGATGGCAGGCGCAGTGGGATTGAATGGAGCCCAAGGCCCATGGCTGCCTGCACCTGGTCTGGGCTCCTTGGCTTTCCACATACACACGGTCTAAGAAGTGGCTCTTAACACTACCGTGACCGGAAGTGCTTGAGTTGGATTATTAAGTGTTCAAAAGTCAAGCTAAAACATTGCAACCAGATGAACAAATTGGGCTGCACAACCAATAGCAGTGGCCCCAGTTGGATCAGAGTGGAGGATTTCTCCACCTTTTCCAAAGAAGTGGTGCTGGGAACACGACGATCATTAAAACTGATGTTGGGCCCACCCTCTGAGTTTCTGGATCAGTAGGTCTGGGGTGGGGCTGAGAAGTCACATTTCAACCAATTTCCCAAGTGATGCTGATGCTGCTGGTCCGGGGAACACACTATGGGAACCACTCCAGTAGGCTGAGCTACTCTTATTGTATTTGTGCAATTTCTTTGGAATAACAGAGTCTGCAGTGAAAACAGTGTAGTAACATCTGGACTTGATGCTCACTAATGCTTCCTCCAGCAATAGCAGGTGCCTATGACTCTAGGATTTTATTACAAAGCACAAAGTGAGTAGTGCATTGCCAAGTGCTGGGTTGGCATAGTGTAACAGTCAAGACCACTGACACAGACATGCCTTAGAATTTTGGTTCCTTCCCTCACAGGCTGTGTGGCTTTGAATGCTCACGGGCTGGGTGACCTTGAAGTTGCCTCCGCTCTCTGAGTCTCTCTGTTGAATGGGTACAATGATAATCTCTAACTCAGATGAAAACACTGAGCCCAGAGTCTGGTACAGACAAAATCCTCCATAAATGGCGGCGGCTCTTCAACTTTCACAGACAGTGGACATGATCAAGAAAACACCAAAGCCACAGTGGATGACCAAGACCCGAGGCAGAGTCCGCACAGTGCTAGCCATTGGCTGGGCCAAGCCTGCCCCCTGGTGGCCAATCGACACCAATGTACAGGTGGCTACAGTTGCAGGCTCAGGGTTTCTCTGTGATTGGCACTAACTCTGGGGAGCAGATCTGAAAATAATTCAAAACCACGTTTCTCCCCCTAAGCGATTTTCTGTTTGTTCTTGGGAAACATCTGAGGGCTGGTGATCAACTTGGCTGTACCGATGCCCAGAGAATTCATGCATGAATTTGAAGGCAAAGGCTGTTGGCCTGCAAGCCCGGTGGGGCTCACTTCGAGGTCCCAATTCTGGCCTGACATCAACTTGCTGGGCACATCACTTCATGCTGCTGGGCCTCAGATTCCTCATCTGAGAAATGAGGTGACTCTGAGGTCCCTGGGGAGATTGCGGTGGAACTGTAGTTTCCCCAGTTCCTCCTGAACCTGGCTGTCGTGCTGGGTTTTGGTTTTGCCTGGACTAGAACTCCCTCAGCCACTGACGCAGGAGGATCTAGGCTGCATGTGGTTTCTGGGAACCCAGGTCCCTAACTGCCATCCTGGGGGTCTTCCCACCTCATGCCCACTGCAGGTGTGGGAGAATGGTTTCCTTCTCTGTCTGGTACAAAACCCCAGCCCAAGGTCAAAGAGCTCGGGCATCTTTCTCCACGAGACACAAGCCCACAGCCTCCAGGGACAGGCGGGGGATGAGGGAAGGGGTGCAGGTGGGGACCAGGGAGACCTGGAAAGCACAAGACCCCACTTCAGGAACATCTGCCCCTCAGTTCATGCCGAGTGATGCCCTTTTGGGATGTGGGTTCAGTGTTGCTAGATCTTTCTTTTAATTTTTTTTCCCCGAGTGTAAATTGTGATAGAAATCTGATTTTTAAACTCTGGCCACAAATTTTATTTTTAAAAACATGACTGTGGGACACATTTGGCTTTGGGGATGGCACCCTGTGGCCTCTGATATGGGAAAACAGTCCAGCACGGCACTCTGGCCTGACCCAGAAGGACCCTGATGAATCAGAAAAGAAACTGCAACCCTTTGCTCTTCCGGACCTGAGGCTGACCTTGGTTAGGGACCCTGGCTTTGAAACTTGCTGGAGATGAATCTCCCTCGTGCCCCCACAACCCTGCACCACCAGGTATAAAATATAAAGTCCACGGAGGCATCTGCAAATAGCTATTGACTGAGTATATATATATGATTTTATATGAATAGAATTATATTGCATATGCTATTCTGTACTTTTTTTTCCCACTCAAT